TGACCGTTGCTTTAACATACTTAAGTGGAATTCAGGTCGCACTGGTATACAGGTAATTAACTAAAGACTCGAGCTTATTTAAGCGGTCACCTCGCCGATTCCTACCGCACCGAGTGTTGTGGTTTCGATCCCCACATGGGACAACACTCTGTGTGATCCACAAATTGTTGTTCTGAGTCTGAGTATTCTTTGATGGGGTGAAAAGGAGGGTGGCATTTATATGGGGAATCAATAACCGCTGAACCGATTTAGATAAAATTAGATTCTTGGGGAAATACTTTTATCCCGATAACTGACATATCCGCGGGCGGAGCCGCGGGCAAAGCTTAATATTATAAATCTTAAGAGGTTTTTTTTTTGGTTGATCACGCTAATCTCAGGTACTACGGGTACGAATAAAAAAAAAATTGTTTTGCCCATTTATGGAGGAAGGCTATATATAACATCACGCCACGACCAATCGCAGCCAAGTATGAATGAAAAATATTGCAAAACGGGGTATACTCGTACTTAGGATGGTTGTGGTTATTGTTGAAGGGATAAGGAACAAAAATTATTATCCTCCAAGTTCATCATCATCAACAGCCTTTAATAGTAGACTACTGGACATAGGCCTCTCCTTAGAAAGAAGGTTTTGGCTTAGGTACGATACCACGCTGGCCAGACGGGTTGCCATTGGGTTTGTTTCAAGTTTTCCTTCTTTTTGCAGTGGTGTTGTCCTGCGTAGTTTGCTCTCTTAGTCACCTCTTACGACACCCACGGGATACATAGGTGACACGCCGTATTCTTAATCCGTCACCACACGTTGTTGATCCTCCAAGTTGTTGATCTAAGTTTATAAAATTCCTTGAAGTATTCATTTGCGTACTATCAATAATGAACTGGATGTGTGGTGTGACTCGCATGGCCAAGGTCAGGAATGAATATAGGAGGGAGTCTGAAAGTAGCGGCACGGATTAAAAAGTTAAGAAGTAACAGGTTATCTTTTTATGGACATGTCATGCGGAGAGATGAAAAAATTTGGGGAAAAAAGGGTTAGGTATGGGAGTTGAAGGGTACAAGAGAAAAGACAGACCAAAGAAAAGGTTGATGGACTTTGTGAGTGATTGAGTAGAATGGAAGAATCATAATTACTGCGCCAACCCCAAATAAAATTGGACTAAGGGTAGGCAGATAACGAATGATACATGACGTATCTTGTAAATCAACGTAGGCAAAAACAAATAAGTATTGCGGGGATTTGTTTGATGGGCACGAACAAAACATTGTGACTGTTGGTCTAGTGGTGGTCTCTTGGTGGTTCTTGACTGCTAAGCTAGAGTTCGAGCACGATCATCTGTTGTACGTCTGGGCTTAGTTTATCTATAACTAGTTTTTGCCTGGTGGTTCGTCTTCTTCGTCCGCGTGGTGGTCGAAATCAGACATCGTAGAGGATACAATGAATTAAGATTATAGGTGTATTCTCTATGGGGCAGCGCGTGCGTTGGCGCGGCTGCTGCCCAACATGAAGGGACCCGATGACTCCTGCAGGAGACTCTACTCGGGGGTTGTGCGGTCCATGGCCCTTTACGGGTGCCCAGTATGGGCGGGGGCCCTGAAGGCCAGCAACGTCGCGATACTGCGACGACCGCAGCGAGTGCTGGCCATCAGGATCATAAGGGGGTACCGCACGATCTCCTTTGAGGCGGCGAGTCTCCTGGCCGGAACTCCACCGTGGGACCTGGAGGTGAGAGCCCTCGCGGCTCTGTATAAGTGGGGCAAGGAGGCGCGGGAGTTGGGTCGGTGTCCCGAGACTCGAGAAATCGATGACCGGAAATCCCAACTCCGCCAGGTCATCATAGGGGAGTGGAAGGAACGACTCGGGCACGCCGTCATCGCGGCGGTAAGACCCGTTATGGAGGATTTGCTCGAGAGGCGTCACGGTACCCTCTCATACCGACTGACGCAGGTGATCACTGGGAAAGGATGTTTCGGGGATCACCTGTGTCTGATCCGCAAGGAGCCAACGCCTGAGTGCCACCACTGCGATGGCCAGACCGTGGACACGGCTCTCCACACGCTGGCAGAGTGCCCGGCGTGGGTTGAGCAGAGGCGAGACCTCGTGGCGGCCATCGGAGTGGGAGTTCTCTCGCTCGATAGCCTGATTGCGGCTATCGTGCGGGGCGAGAGTGCGTGGAACTCTGCCGTCTCCTTCTGCGAGCAAGTTATGCTCGCGAAGGAGACGGCGGAGCGGGACCGGGAGAGGTTTAGGACTCTCCCGGCCCGCCAGGCCCGGGAACGGGCCAGGTACCGCAGGCGACTCAGGCGCCGGAGGTCGCAGAACGACCTCCGTCCTCCATAAGCGCAGGCCTGGGGGTGACAGGTGAGGCCATCTGTCACCCTAGCAGAAGCAGGCCGGGGTGGCGGCGAGCGCGTTGCGAAGCGCGCTCGCTTCCAGGGAGCACAGGGAACATGGGGCTCCCACACGGGGGGGGGGGTCGTCTACTCGTCTGTAGATGACCCGAGGTATGTCGGGGCACCAGGGACTTCCTTTCTAGGGTATACCTGGTTCCCCGGCTATTAGTACCCGAGACGGCGTGCGGTTTTAGTCGGTTCGAGTCCGACATGCCACCGACAGGTGGTATCCGAGGGGATTTCAGCACGGGAAAAAAAAAAAAGTGTATTCTCTATACAAACTTGCTCCCCTTTTTATGGTTAATTTTGGAAAAATTGTAACAACGTTTGTTATTAATTTTAATAAAGAGTATTTACTGTGAGTTTGAAAACGATACTACGAAAAACGCAAGGATGGCGTAGTGGTTTAAGCGGTCTCCACGCCGATTCCTACTGCGCCGAGTGTTGTGGGTTCAAATCCCACATGGGACGACGCTTTGTGTGATCCACAAATTGTTGTTCTGAGTCTGGGTGTTCTTTGTGTCCGTTTCATGTATGTATGTAAAGTCACCCGCGATACAGGATTTGTTCCTAGTGCGGAAGTTGTCTTTTTTAAGTAAAAAGAAATATACATATAAAAATGACGTAAGTAGTTTTATATAAATTTCCAACCCCCATTTTACAACCCTTCCGAGGTAGGCCGCCGTGGGGTTTCGTGGGTAGACCAGTTCTCCGGGAGTCCCACACACGTGCTCCGTTTCGTAGTATGGTGCGAAAGGCAAATGCGAAAAAAAGGGGTGGAATATCACAACCCAGCGGTTTCAGCTGTTTTGATCGATCAGTCAGTGAATTAGTCTGTCAGTTTCTTATCTATACAAATAAATAAAATGGAGTGTCTGTTTGTAATATTAAAATAACTAATAATAGGTAGCTGGACCGATTTCGACGGGACTTTCACTGGCAGATAGCTGATGACATAAGGAGTAACTTAGGCTACTTTTTTTAGACTAGCTTCGCCCCGCGGCATTGCCCGCGTTTATAACAACAAACGCGGGTAACACCGCGGGTCTCAGCTAGTTTTATACATAATTATACTCGTAGATTGTGTCTAGATTTAGATATGTTTATCAGTAACCTGATTACCAAAATACAGGTTCAGTATAGTTTGAGACCAGATGGTGGGTCAAATCACTATAAATTATATATGCTCTTGTAAGTTAAGTTTTTCTCTTACCAAGGTGTAAGAGAGAGAGGGAAAGATTCTTGCAGAGATTCTGGTATAGTAGTTAGAACGTATTGATTTTATTTACATTTTTTTTCTTAACACAATTATTCATAGAGAGATATGCTGCTTTCCTCCGCGTATGTTCTAATTCACATGGTGTATCACACAGGTTGTATGTGTGTTATGTTTTGTGAATATCACTCATTGTAGTTTAGTTTACGTCATTACAAGTATATGTACCTACATGCCATTAACCCTTAGAATGCCCAATGAATTCCTATTCCATTTTTATAATTATGGGTTTGAAAACCACCATGTCTCTTTTAATATCTTTTAAAAAGAAGAAGGATATCAATTCGTTTTGGCACTTATATTCGCTAAATAAGTACCATTAAATGCCACTTTTTTCCCATAAGAATCTAATTAATACTTTTAATTTTTCTTGTGATTGTGGCTAAAAGTAGCTTTTCAAGTTTTTCGAACTGTTTTCTGGATGAATGCATGAACTTCGTTCATAATACCCTATGTTCGTAGCTGTATCCCTGGCAAGGGGTTGAAGAACGTTAGAACAGCTATTCTTTATTTTTCTATTGTGTAGAAACCACCCTCGGGTCGTCACGCCAGTCACCGGGGGTTTCAATTGACGGTGTGTCGGAATTGAACCGTCCAAAACCACACAAGTGCCATGATGTGTCTGAAATAGGAGAATCGAGAACAGGAGAGCAACTATTCATTCATTAGGATGGCGTAGTGGTTTGTGTAACGGACTGCTATTCCAAAGGTCGCGGGTTAGATTCCCGCTCAAGTCAAACATTTGTGTGCATGAACATTCAATGTTTGATTTGGTCTGGGTGTTTCTATGTATAATAAGTATGTATTTACAAAAAAAAAAGTATACATATCAGTTGTCTAGTACCCATAGCACAAGCTCGGCTTAGTTTGGGACTAGATGGCGTTGTGTGAATGTAGTAAAATATATTTAAAAAAATATATGTTAATATATTAGGGTTGTACCTCAAAAGGTAAAAAAGGAACCCTTATAAGATCACTTACTTGTCCGTCTGTCCGTGTGTCACCACCCATTTTATTAGGAACGGGTAGACATAGCAAGTTGAAATTTATACCAGATACTGAGGTCTATGGTCCCTAATAGGTGTATAAAAATCAACAGCACAAATAAAGGAATTTAACAAGCTATTTCAATCTGGTTAAGTGACAGGGGTATGAAAGACATGTTGTAGCTTTAGAGGGTTAAGTTAACATATTAAAATGTCTTTGAATGAGACACACTAACATTATAAATATATATGTGATCGAAACTGAGTGAACGAAGTTTATGCATTGGACTGATGCGTGCCGAGTTAAAGTGTTCGCTGGAAACAGCTCGTGAAATTACTGTAAAATGGAAATAAAAATACATATAATTCTAGTGACTCTATCGTGTTATGTGTTCGCCTACCATGACTTCACTTGCAAGAAAAAAACAGTTCTACTACTCATAAGACGGCCAGCTTTCGAATTTTCAATCAGACTACTTCAAAGAGTTGCAGAAGATACCAACGCACATTTCGTTTTGTCTCCGCTAACGACATGGTTGCAGATGATAGCGTTATCCGACGGAGCGCGTGGAGAAACCTTCGATGAAATTTTGAAGCTAACCAGACAGAAGCACAGCAAATGCTTCAAGAGAAAGTTTCATCAAGTGATACCACGATTGCAAAGGGGTTTAAGATACAAAACCAAGCGACAGAGTGTTATGGTGATAGACAAAGGAGTGCTACCGAAGACACAATTCATACTAGAAATGCAGGAAGTGTATGGGATTGATGTAATGGTGTTAGATTTTAATAAACCAACGGCATCATCCTTTCAAGTCAACCGTCTGGTTGACGATGTAACTGGAGGAATTATAGACGGGGTTGTGTATGAAGATGATTTTATTGATACAGTGCTATTGATGAGTGACGCTAATTTCTTTCATAGTGTTTGGCAGACGGAATTTTTCCGTGGTTACACTCAAACACGTACATTTTTCTCATCTCATGGAGCTGCTATTGGAACAGTAAATATGATGTATCAAACAGGCTACTTTTGCATGGTAGAAATACCTCAAATAGGTGTTAAAGTTTTAGAATTGCCTTTAGGTAATCCTGGAATATCTATGCTTTTCTTTTTACCCACTACTAAAGCATGGGTTGGTGAGTTATTTTATAATTTAGAAAAGTTGGACTTGATTACAATTTTTAATTTCTTTAAGATAGAAGAGCAGAGACTAGTAAATGTAGCTATTCCTAAGTTTATTCAAGTGACTGAAGTAGAGAATTTATCTGAATTACTTTATGACATGGGTATTAAGAGGATATTTGATCGTGAATTATCAGAATTAGAAGGGGTTGGTGAATATAATGTACACGCTTCTGTGATGACACAAGTAACTCATATAAGAGTGAACGAGAAGGGATTATCGTTTGGTGTGGACTTTGACTCTGCTAATGAAAGTAGTGTAGAATTTATTGCAGATAGACCATTTGCATATATGGTCGTAGATAAAACAATAAACTTTATCATATACGCCGGTGCGTATTCGGTACCGAGTCTTGTTTGAGAGGCGCACTGTAGAATAAGGAGATAAAATCGAGTTGAGAATTAAAAACCTTTGTTCTGAATGAGGTTAGTTGTGATGATAATCAAGATATTATTTTATATAATACTAAACTGTCGTATATGAGAAAGTGTCTACTTACCCTGCGGTATTGAATACACTTACTTAAGATTCCGGAACTGCTTAAAATTAATGTTTAGTTTTGATCTTAACACCCAAGAAAAATATCAAGGTGCTTATTATGCTGTGTTAACAACGAAAGGTGTGACGAAAAATGATGGGTTATTTTGAAAATTTCTACAAAAAAATTTAGAATGCTCAAATGTAATCACTTAATCACTTTAATTATTTAAAGAAAGAAAGAAGAAGTTTATTTTAATGACACTGCAACTCAACAACATTATTGTACAGATTCAGAACATATATAGTATTGTAACACGTAACGAATTAGAACATAATATAGTATTAAACACAGTTATAATTAACATATTTGTAAATAAAAATATAACAATTTATATAAATTTCTAAATACTCTTACAAATAACACAAAAACATAGTAAATAGGTACGTAAGATATTTGCTGTACAATTGCGTCGCAGCGTTCATTAAAAGGAGATGTTGCTCAGCATAATGCTGCACCACTATGATACAGCACTGATTTTCAGCAACACCTCGGTAGAGATATGTGCGTCTAAAACAGTCTAAATACCTAAATTTGTGTTTCGAAACAATATTGTTAAACAGCACGAAGTTTTTTGAAGGGAAAAGAAAAGTATTTCAGTGTATCTCTACCGAAGTGTCGATTTGTTTGATTGGGGTTTCAGGTTAGTTCTAAAATAAAATATAAACCTTTAACGTTGAATCTGGTCAAGATGTTTTTATCTTAACAGTCATTTGTTTAACTCATTTTATACAACACTTGAGTCATAATATGCTTTATACTCGTTAGTAAACTGGATTAAAATCGATTTTTACACGCTTTATATTAGCTTCACTTGTATGTTTGTTTGTAACCGACTCCTTTGGGCGTGATTTTGACTGACTTTAATCAGTCAGAATTCGTTCAAACTTTGTAGATATATCGAGGACCGATGACAATACACTAATTAAAAAAAAGGTTCTCTATAAAAAGCGTGTTTTTTAGTTCTTTTAAACTGTTTTTTTGATTTAGATATACCTAACGTAATTTTGTAAAAGTGTTCCTATAATAAAGTTACTAATGTAATATACAATGTATGTTTGAAACTCTTTTAAGATTCTTAAAAAATAAAAACAATGTTTTTGTATCTTAATAGTAAACTAAGTACTAAACTTTTGATTCTTTTTGTATTTTCAAACTAATTATTATTGTCTTGTAAGTTATAACTCATTTTGCGTGGTAATAAAGTATAGTATAATATAATATCAGTATAGTATAGTGATATAAAGAAATAAAACCTTCTTTTACATATTTTACTTGGTTATTAAGAACCATATAACAATATTAAAAATAATAATACGGTTTAAATGCAATGACCATAAATTAGCATGAGTTTTAGTTGTTTCTTGAGTTATGCTCACGAAGTGGGAGGGAGCGGGCAAGGTTAAGAAATCTTCCGGTCCGCCAGATCCGGGAATTGGCGAATTGAGAGAAGTTATTACTAAGGTATTTCCAGACCAATGCGACCTTCAAACACCTCAATGTCCAGCAAGGCATTTGGGATACAACGTCGATTAACACCATGAACTGTTTACACCACGATGCGAATCATACACGGACGCTTTTTGACGTAGTTGATTTGGGCCAACGATATCAAAAAGAGTACTTTTATTGTTCGCACCACGGTGCGGATTGGCCATGTACAAGAAAGATATACGTCGATTTACACCAAGGTCCCAAACGGCGTATTCAAATAGCGTCTGTGTGTGATTCCCACCGTGGTGTAAACGGCTCTGGTGGCAATCGACGTTGAACCCTTTGCAACTCTTGCTTTATAGGTGCACCTACCAGAGGAAGCGTAGGAAAAATATTTTATACAAGCTAATTAATAAAAAACAAAAAACTGAATGCGTGAAAATGTATGATGATTTTAATTTTTTTCTAATTTTCCACCTCTCAAGCCAAAATCCATCAAGTCGTTTAGAGTACAAAGCGCGCCAAAGGAATAAACCTAAGTACATAACTTTCCTTCTGACGAGGTCGGTTAAAAACCCAAATATTATCACTACACAGTAAATCGTAAATTACACGAGTCCACTGCTGAGCATAGGCCTCTCCTTATATCCACATAGGCCTCCTCGGCCTACTATACCACGCTGGCCAGACGGTTTGGTATAGGGTTTGTTTCAAGTTTTCCTTCTCTGTGCAGTGCCGTTGTCCTGCGTTGTTTGCTCGCTTAGTCGGCTCTTACGACACCCACGGGATGAATTGGGGTAGTGACATTCCGTATTCTTAATCCGTCACTACACGGACAATGTATTAATTAAAAGTACTATATGAATTGCCGTCATCTTACGGCAATTGATACCACATCCATGTTTATACACCCACGGGATGAAAAGGGGTGGTGACATTCCGTATCCATAATCCGTCATAATGTGTCTATATTTTGTCTATTTCCATTCATGAAAAATAAATGCGAGTAATTTCTAAGCGTGAGCTCGTGTATATTAATTTATAGACATATTAGCTGACCCGGCAAACGTTGTGGGTTACCCTTGTCATTTAGGGGTATGATAAATAGATGTTGGCCGATTCTCAGACCTCAGAACATTCATAACAATCGGTCCGGCCGTTTCGGACGAGAAGGGTAACTAACATTGTGACAAGAGAATTTTATATTTAAGATTTATTCATTGACCATATATTTTTAAAAAAAATATGTATTTATTAGTGGTAGTAATTAGCCTTGCGATAGTATGTTAATGTATGTTTTGAGGAAATCTATTGATAGTTAAATTTTCCTCAAAAAACATTTGTCCAAATTGAGGCTCATTTGTAGCATGTTAATATTCACGTTAACGTAACGTGACGTTCCTTCAAGGCTGTTTCCTTAGAGAATAGCGCTGCTATTCTAGTGTACTCGAAACTTAACAATATAATAATAATCGCACACATTTCACAAACGTCTGAGTCTGATCATAAACTAGGCAGAGCCTATACTATGGTAACCAGACTACTGATAAACATACTTAAATATTTCAAATAATATAAATAAGTAGCATTTGCCTGCGGCTCCGCCTATGTCCTTTATCAAGAATCAAACTATCTCCATACTAAATTTAATCTGAATTTTCCCCATACAAACTTCCATCCCCCTTTTCACACCCTTAAATGATGATTTCTGGGATAAAAACTATCCTAAGTATTTTTATACCAAATTTCATCTAAATCGATTCAGCGGTTTAATCGTGAAGATGTAATAGACAGACAGACACACTTTTGCAATCATAATACGAGTATTATTATGGACTAGTTAAGTATAGACAGATACATTACACACAGAGTCAGAACGGGTTCCCTCTATATGGCAGAATCTTGAGGCTTGATCATGAAATTTATTTCGCATAACACACTTGGCAGAATCTTCTTTATACGAATGTTTTTAAGGCATAATTTTTTTAGCCGAATGTTAATACTAGCTGACCCGGCAAACGTTGTATTGCAAAACAAAAAAAAATTAGGGATGGGTCACCCTTACCATTTAGGGGTATGAAAAATAGATGTTGACCGATTCTCAGACCTACCCGATGTGCACACAAAATTTCATGAGAATCGGAGCCGTTTCGGAGGAGTACGGGAACGAACATTGTGACACGAGAATTTTATACTCGTATATAAGATATACCTTTGGCAGAGTTAAAATGCCACATAATTTTGTTTAGCATAACGTTTATTTAGAGCGACGATTATTTGGTAGAATTTCATTTTGAATAACTTTATTAGGCATATTGCCTTAAAATTGCATTTTTAACCTTAAATTAAATTATTATCTTAGAAAGTCATAATGTCTTGCTACAAATGTTTTTGACAGAAACGAATCGCTGCAAAACCCACTCCACGTAGTCCCTAGAGTGTAAATTAAGCCCACGTAGGCGCGGAGGGGCTAGGCGGCCCGCGGGCTGAGGAGGAGGTGGTTTCAATATTCGCCGAAACCACCTTCAGCTTGCCTGCTCGCTCTGTGTGGACCTGCCTATTTGTTATTACGAATTGGCGGCAATTTAAAAATTATCTCTTGTACATCGCAATGGATTTGACCAGAGACAATTTTAGCTCAATGATTTTAACTCAACAAGAAGGTTACGGTATACTTCGATTTTTTTAAACTGGTTTCTCGTTTCTGGACTCTCGAAAAATACGTTCTTCTACAGCGACTACTTAAGATAACGTTAGTGCTGTGCGGTTAACGATAGAAGCTGATAGAAGGGTGACATATCAACCGATTCGGAATGCCTAAGCACTGGCATGAGCTAAGTACAAAAAGTATCACATGTACATTTAAGCGTCAGAAAGCTTTTTACTAGATGAATACACATAATTTGACGGAAGAAAAAAAATGTTTTCGTTTGGAATGGTGCCGCTCAATGCTTGAAATGAATGACGGAAGTGACTCGAATGTTGTATATGACATCTCATAGATGATTAAAGCTGGATAAATTGTTATGAACCAACTTTTTTTAAAGACAACTCCGGCGCCAGGAATATATTCTGTGTCGCGCGGGACCTTACAAACATTCATGAAACAGACACAAAGAACACCCAGACTCAGAACAACAATTTGTGGATCACATAAAGTGTCGTTCCATGTGGGGATCGAACCCACAACACTCAGCGTAGTAGCAAGCGGCGTGGCGACCGCTTAAACCACCACGCCATCCGTGCAGCATTTTGCACGAACGGGTCATTTCGCAACAATCATTCTAGAAGATACAAAGACTGTTACTGCAGATTGGTATGTCAGTCAATGTTTACCAGTTATCCTGGGTAATGTTAGACAGCAGCGCCCAGGTAGCAGGATCCTAATCCACCACGACAACGCTGCAGCTCCATCAGCCAGACGCACTATGCAATATTTGTCTATCGAAGGTGTGGAGCTAGTGAGTCATAATCCATCCTCATTACATTCCGGACCTGGCACCTTGTGACTTTTAATTGTTTTCAAAAAAGAAGATAAACTTAGAGGAATTCGTTTTATAAACCCTGAGGATGTCGTGCTTGCGTTTGAAAAAGGCGTGGAAGAGATCCCCAAAGAAGAGTGAGCTCACTGTTTTACTCAATGGTTCTTGGAAACGGAGACTTCTTCGAAAAGCATTGAACATATTTACATTCTTCTACATTATTCCGTTTTGTTGTCTACCAGCCACAGCCCAGGTCTTAGATGAGAGATAAGTCTTAAAGGAAATATTAAATCTCTTAACGACATAAGAATGAGTATTTAATCAAGCAAATCTTATAACGGCAATTTCCTTATAGGTAGCACATAAAAACAATAATAATAGTTAGTAATTAGTCTTATTGTCAATAAAATTACGTAATTTTATTACTTATAAGTCAGGCGTCAGTGGGTATTGATCATGATCTTTTCCTTTCCTTGTTCACTATGAATGAGCTCTGCATCACCCTAAGGTTGACAGGCAGAAAATGCCTATGGCAATAAGTCCGCCAATGTATTTCCTGGAAGTATTAATAAAATAAAAAAGTTTTCAGCTTGATAGTTACAGCATGAATGAGCCGGATACCGGCCAATGATCGGATTTCTCATTCAGTTCTAGTACCCACTTACATATTTTTACTATTCAACATAACATACATCTGTTTGCTATGCAGCAAAAAAAGTTTAAAAAAATCTATACCTAGTGTTTTTTTTGTCATTGACACGAATAAACCAGTAGACTGATAATCGTTCATTATTCGTAAAAGTATGATCCAGGCCCACTGATAATCACTAAGCACTTAGAACCAGGCCTGTCTCTAGTCTGTTGGAGGCCCTGGGCAAATTAGCATAATGGGGCCCCTACGAACTTAGCTGAGCACTATTTTGTTAGAATATACAAAGAAAATATTGTAGTCAGTCATTAGAAATGGATTTTTCGAAATAATTATGTTCTTCGGTGATAAATATTGATTTTCGATTGGTGATCTGGCAGGATCGGGCCCCTATCGATCGAGGGGCCCTGGGCACGTGTCCAGTGTCCAGTGAGAAAGAGGGGCCTGCTTAGACCCAAGTTTTTTAAGACCCATTTAGTAAAAAGTGACTGCCGTCGTCCTTTAACACATGCAACTAAAGACCCAAGTGTGTTGGTGCTCTTTGAAAAAGTTTGTGGTAGTTATAAATAAAAATTGTATCATAGTTTATTTTTAACATAAATACACGCTTATTAAACGCCGGGACTCATAAAATGTGACTTCCCATGTCCTTGATTGGGCGACCAGAACGTTTACTATAAAATATGCAGTTGTACAGTTGACGTGGTACAGTTCCATTTGTAATTCGACATTGAACTCTTACTCTCAACAAATACTGTTTTAAATTATTTATCTGTTAGTACATGTTATTTATATTTTGTTTTATTTTAGTTGAGCGTGCGATCTCGGGAATCGCTACTCAGATTCTAAAAATTCATTTGAAATGTATTACTTATCACTCATCTTCTCATCTCATACGACTCTCAACGTGGCAACAAATAAACTACAATGTGAACAATGAGGACACAAGTTGATTTAAAAACAAAACAAAATAACCGACTGTATCAAAATATATAGGTACTCAAAATATACTAGCCGGTGATTTTAATTTTTGTAATTTTCATATGCCTGTGGAGGAACGGGTGTCATGTCCATCCAACACAAAGGGAGGATCCTCCGACCAGGCGAGGTGATCATGTTTGGCAGGCCGCGTTTGGCAGTTGTTGATCGACGTGAGAATTATTCATACACATGAGACAAACTGTTGTGTGATGAGCATGATTTGTTCTATCTCTGGGCGTAATTTATCAATAACTTATAATTTAGTAATATATAAATTACGCCAGCGAGGACGCCAGCAGTCCGTTCGAATGGAATCTTTATCGATGTGGGTCGAACTCTGGTGTTTCACAAGGCGTTATTCTTTCTCTTCTTCTGTTTTCCTTATTTATCGATCTCATAACCCAAGAACTTCAGTGTTCGTATCACTTGTGTATAGACGACCGGCAGATCTATTCACATGCAAGACTAGAAAATTTGGACGAAGCTGTAAATAGTATTAATAAAGAGGTCTAGCAGGTTCGGTTTAACGGTGAACCCATCAAAATGCTAAGCGATCAGCATAGGGAGTCCTAGAATGACAAGCAGAATTGATCCTGATAGTATTGCTGGCATCATCTTTAATGATACCGTTTTTCCTGTTATTAGATCGGTCAAGGATCTCGGTCTGCGGTTTGACTGCACGGATGCCGTAGTGGTTTAAGCGGTCACTTCGCTGCTACCTATTGCGCTGTGTGTTGTAACAACAACAACACACTGTGTGACAACACTTGTGGTGATCCACAAATTGTTGTTCTGAGTCTGGGTGTTCTTTGTGTCCGTTTCATGTATGTTTGTAAAGTCTCCCGCGATACAGGATATATGCCTAATGTGGGAGTTGTCTTTAAAAAAAAGTCTGCACATCGATGCGACTCTGAACTGGCAAACTCAAGTTACTAGCGTCAGTCAAAAAGTTACGAATATTTTACGAGGATTCTATCGTCTTAAAAATTTCCTCCAAGTAAAAACAAAGACGATGCTTGTGGAGAGTTTAATTTTTTCACTATGGTGATGTGTATTATCTCGACTTGAATGTAGATCTGCTCAATTAATTAGAAAGACTTCTCAACAATTGCATTCGGTTCATTCTCAACCTGCGAAAGTATGGTCACATATCCGCTTACCGTACGCAACTGTCATGGTTACCTATAAGACAGCGCCGCAGTTCCAGGGCTCTGACTGTTTTACACTCTCTTCTCCACTCACCTAACTCACCTACATACTTAAAATCCCACTTCCAATATCTCTGCTCTAATCATGACAGAACTCTTCGCACTTCCAACAATCTTCTCCTTCTTTGGCCTTCATATGCTTCCAGTATGGTCCATTCTTCCTTCCCTGTTCAAGCTGTAACCCTTCGGAACAGACTCCCACTAGAAATCAGGATGTGCACTAACCGATTCACTTTTAAGCTTAAAGTACGGAAGCTCTATAGAGACTTGTTGATGGAGTCATCAGAATAACACCTTAAGAGTAATTTTATTTTCTTCGTTTTATATGTGTTATATTTATATGTATAAACCATATGTATGTATACCTACAGTACTTATATATCTGTAGGGTTTTTTTTCTGCCTTTGTAACATTCCTAATTCAGTCTCATCTTCACCTGTCCCAAATATACACCAGCTTTGCAACATCCAAAGGTTTGACTGAAAGAAAATGCCTAAGGCATTAAGTCCGCCTTATGCAATATGTTTGCAGGAAAGCTCAATAAATAAATAAATACATATGTTGTATGGACATGTATAGATGGACACAACTAGGTCCAGTGTGTGTGATTGGTTTCAGCTAGAACAGGGATAAATGGTTCTTATTTTGAAAAGGTGTTTTTCGAAATAATAAATGTTATTTTTTATATTCCATAGAAACATCGTGACCAGTGTGCGATTCATATTTAGATCAAATTATATAGGTTGTTGTAATCCATTTATAAAAGAAACTTTCATGATCACTTCTTTAATCAGTTAGTGCTTATATTAAAACCGTACTACGATCGCTATTGAGTTTACTTCCAAAGGAAGAGAAATATAGTAAAAAAGTTACTTATGAACCGCTAACCCATCTACAAATCAGCCTATGACATTTTTGCTTTCTTAAATAAACTGTTTAGTAGAGCCACATAACTGTCACTGCGCCTAGCAAAACAATAACAAACAATTAGAATGAACATTCTACAGATTTTACATCGTAGCGTAGATAAGAATCAAACTACACGTTACTTCATTCAATGTTAAAGTATCAGGCATCTTAAAGAGACTATCATTATAAATAACTGTATACTGTAGACGCAGCATCGAAGCTCATTCAACCGGCGAACGCCGCGCTGAACGGTCGGTTGATAACAAAACAAAACAGCCGCGAAGATGAACATCCAAACATTAGTCATAGTGACTCTGTCGTGTTGTGTGGTGGCCTACAATGACTACAAATGTAATAAACAAGCAGCCTTACGACTTCTCAAACGGCCAGCGTTTGAGTTTTCAATCAAATTACTACAAAGAGTTGCCGAAGACACCGATGGACATTTCATTTTCTCCCCGTTGACGACATGGCTGCAAATGACAGCTTTATCCGAAGGAGCTACAGGATTCACCTTCAGAGAAATCTGGCAAGTAACGAGACACCACCGAAACAGATGCTTCAGGAAAAAAATGTATGATATTATGTCACAATTGAATAGGTCTCTGAAAAGCAGAAACAGTCGAACGAGTGTCATTGCGATAGATAAACTGATGGCTGTAAAAAAACGCTTCGTAAAAGAAGTCCAGAGACTTTATGGTATTAAGGTGTTGTTGCTGAATTTCAATCAACCAGCGAAATCGGCAAATGAAGTGAATGAAGCAATCAAACATGGAACAGGGGGAGTTATTGACAGAATTTTATATTACGATGATTTTAATTCAACAGTGTTACTATTGAGTGATGCAAATTACTTCCATAGTGCTTGGAGAACCCCGTTCGCAAGTGTTTACACTAGATCAACGCCATTTTTTTCAAGCTCCGGAGGTGAGCTCGGCGTAGTGAGTATGATGCATCAAACAGGCTATTTTAACTTGGTAGAATTCCCTCAAATTAATGCTCAGGTCTTAGAAATACCATTCGCGGTTCCTGGGATATCTATGCTTGTATTTTTACCCACGGATAAAGTCTGGATTGGAGAAATATTTTACAGTTTACAAAAGACTAGATTGACAGCAATTTTTAACATGTTCAAACGTAAAGGCCTAAGTTTAGTAAATGTAGCTTTACCCAAGTTTAGTCAGCTAACAGAGATTGAAAATTTACCCGAGTTATTATACGATATGGGTATTAAAAGGATTTTTAATCCGAACTTAGCTGAGTTAAGGGGTATTAGTAACTATAAGGTGTATGCATCTTTAATGACACAAATCAGTCGTATAACTGTTGGTGAAGAAGGGGTTACGGTCGGAGCTGAGTTTCTTGCTGAAAATGACACAAGTGTAGACTTCAAAGCTAATAAACCTTTTGTTTATATGATAGTTGAAAGAACGACGGAGTTTATACTATATGCTGGCGTGTATTCCATACCGAGTGAGGCCTGAGAATTAAGAGGCACTTATATGTTTTGTGAAAATTGTGGAATTCGTGTCATTGGACTAAAGATATTGTTAATATTAATAAAATACTGAGTGAAGGTCGCTTGCGAACGTAAAACAGTGACGCGAATAGACATAAATAATGACACTTTAGAATTTTTATACATATAATACGTTTTTTTACAACAGTGAAACTTTTTATTTTATTTATTATTTTGATTTTATATTTTTAAACTAGTATTTGATCTATGGAGGTGTTTTATAAGTATTATAATGATTCCTAATGAGCGATATTTACGCGAACGCGATTCAAAAGTGCTATAAGTTTAAACTGCCTTTGAATTTCTTTTTTTTTAATAATAATTATATATCATAGAACTCAAAAGTTTAAAAGTGAACATTTCTAAGTAGTTCAACTCATATTGTATAAAACAATGCTAGATATGACACAGAAATCGTCATAAACAATCATCATCATCAACAGCCTTTAGTAGTCCACCGTTGGACATAGGCATTTTCTTAGAAATATGGTTTTGGCCTACTGTACCACGCTGGCCAGACTGGACTTGGCACCCTAGGTATGCATAGAGATAGTGACACTCCGTATTCTTAATCATGACATGTTTCATTGCAACTGTTGTTCAAAACACTTCATCAAAAGTAAAGCTCATAAACGAAACTGTAAAATTGTTTATTCGTATTTCGACCTGTCATACTATTTATTTGCATACGAGTACACTGGACATGTATCTGCAATATCTATCCTAGCATGCAATATCCTAGCATCCTTAATTATTTATAAATAATCTAAGCCTAGCATATACGGAATTGCCTTTTTTATCGTTTTGTTGTCTATGGTTTCAAAGTTTATTCAGTTTATCATGTTATTTCAAACAGCCGAGAATCTCTTTTAAATTAACTATGCACATAATTAAGAAAATATCTACTGTTTAATTATAATACAGCACAGTACAATTGTGTTTGTTTGTTTATTATTAAATTGTTTCTGTTTCAAACATTGTTTTCTAGCGAAGTGATTGTATTCTTAATTTATTTCTTTTTTGTGTTATTATTTTTGTTACATCATATAACTATAGTAATTTTCGTAGTTTTTAGCTTATTCGTTTTTTTAAGTATCGTTTAATTTATTGTTGATGTACAATGTTCAAAATGCTGATTTTCAGAGATTCATTTAGGATAAGCAGATAAGCATCAGATCAATTTATTGCATTTTGCAGGGATTTGAATTATCACCTTTTTATTCTTATACATTTACACTTACAAATATTAAATTTGGTGTCAATCATTATGGTGGCCATAATGATTGACACCAAAATATATATATTTAGCGGTGATTTAAGAATGGAAAAATTGAGAGTAGGTTCATAACATATTGAAAGAGAGAGAGTTAATAAAGGCAAGGCAATCGAAGTAAAAAAGGATATTACTTTAAGGGTGAATTGAGGTGGTAAGTAGTATTTACTTCGAGACTTCGAGAAGGCTAAGGTCGAGTAACTGCACCTTCAGCTGATTTCGTCCGATTTATCTCATTCGTCTGATGTTATTATAATAATTTTATAAATTCCTTTTATTTGAGAATGTCAAGATACGCTTAATTTTTTAAGACTTTTCAACTAACAAATAAATCACACGTAATAAAAATCGCACAAACGTGAAAGCTAAACTTCGAGTAATTTTTTAAGGATTTTGTAAATGAAAATTTTCAGCTTTTCATTATTTCAATTTTCTTTAAAACACACTTTTAAAACAGTGTCCATAATGATAATGACAATATAAAGTAATTAAATAAAATAACGAACATGAACAGCAACAATAAATTAAATAATTGTGACAACTTTATATCCACGTTGAATAGTCAATTAAATTTAAAACCTAAGTCATTTAGTTTTATAGCCATTTAGATTATATTTATTGTAAACATAAATGTTCATAAATGTTCAAATAGGTTTTAAATGCCGAATGATGCTTTTAAACTGCTACCATCTGTTTGAAATTTAACTGGGCTGTTTTTAATCGTTAGGTTAAATTGTCACGGAAAAAATATAGCACGGAAGTAGGGACAATTTATAAACTGGTAACAACAAGCTCACTGTAACCCGCAAATGTCAATGTCATCAACCAAGATGACATTGACAGTTGCTTGCCAAATGGTCTTTGTTGCACTATACCGTTTTAATTAAAGTGACAGCTGATAGAAAAATCATACGTCATATATGTCACTGTCACTTTAAAAATATTCTAATATAAAGTGCGCTTGACAGCTATCCGTAATTTTATATGTATGGTTAACTTTTTAAAACAGGATTAATAGAGATTATTACTACACAGAATAAGATAACACGCAAGCAAGTCCTGTTATTTAGTACTATACAGTATAATTACTTTCCTTATCAAAGAAACGGCTTTCTGTCTACTAAACTGAGTACTCAATTTATACTGACGATTGAAAAGAAACCTTACATCGCATTGTATTAAGGTGAAATTGCACTGCCTAATATTGTATATACCTAGTTTTTTTTTATACGAAATGTTATAACGAAATTTATTTCTGTGAAATAATTATCCATATCCTGCATTTGTTTACTTATTATGAACTAACAATTAATGAATAATGTAAAAAAAATAAATTGCGAACAAATGAATAATATATCTACCTAAATAAAACCTACCTAAAATAAACAGGAAACAATTGTTGGTATTTTTTGCATATTCCCAAAAAGCTATTATTCCTTATGAATGAATGAATGATGAATGAATAAGAGACATAAACGGCACAGTTAAAACGTATAAAGAATTTTGGTTGACATAGATTATTGAATTTGTGTATTTGACTGCCTCGTTCGTGCAGTAGGTAGCATATGCGACTGCTGTGCTGAGGTCTCGGGTTCGATTCCCGGGTCGGACTAAATGTTTGTATGATCTACAAATATTTGTTTCGGAGTTTGGTTTGTTTTCTATGTACGAGTATAATATGTATGTATTCATAAAAAAAGTATAAAAGTATTCTAGCAGTCAATCTAGCTTTCATAGTACAAATGTGTTGTGTGTTAGATGTCCGAAATATTTATTATTATTATTATATGTCTTCTACATGTATCATCACATCACATCAACAGCCTTTAATAGTCCACTGTTGGACATAAGCCTCTCCTTAGAAAGAAGGTTTTGGCCTACTATACCACGCTGGCCAGACGGGTTGGTATAGGGTTGGGGTGCTGGGCTAGAAAACCTCCTCGTGGTGCACCCTGGAAACGCTGGCGATGGTACTGTTTCCTCCTTGTCCTCTTGGAGGAGAGGATTATCGCCAGCGGCCAATATTCTAGCAGAAGAGGCAGCCGTTCATCGGCTCTCGGGCAAGGCCTGGTCCAGCAGGGTGGGCGTGTCTGCCGGTTGCCCTGCTGGCTCTTCGCTCTTCGGAGCATGGAGGAGGAAACCTCGGTAAAAAACCTGATGGCGGGGCCCTGTAGGGGCCACAGTTTCTCCGCTGATAGCAGTGGAGAAAGGAGGACGGGCTCGGCGTGTACTGACACTACCACCGAGCAGGCAGGGGGACGTAGTCTCCCTGTCAACCGTCGGCATATCGCAATCCCGAGAAGAGCGCTGTGGTTAAGTCTCGCGGCTCTGATCGGGGGCGAGGGTCTTGGCTTAACCGCCCGGACCGCGAGGAAGATAACCTCTCTAAAAAATTCCCCGAATCCCGTGTTCTGGTGCGTGGCCAGGGGATGCATGGCTGATGGGAAGTTCAGTCGCGAGCGCACTCCAAGCCGAGGTACCTGCGGACCCCTCGGTTGGGTTAAAAACTAACGCTTGATCGGGTAATGGGGGATCTCTGCCCGGGTGGACCTTTAGTTCTCCCCCACTCGTGGGATTAAATATGGAAAAAATTCAAAACCTAAAAACACAAAAAACGATCGGAAACAACCAACAACAGAAGGCAAGTCTAACGGAAACGAAGAAAACGAAGGGAAGGAAGGAGAAGCAGAGCAGTGGAGTGGATGGGTCGTCCACTGAGGGTGAGGTGGCGTCGGGAACGCCCATCTCGATGGGGCTCCCAGAAGTCAGTCTGACTCTGATCTCTGGGAGCCGAAGAGCATCGGATCGGCTGCGCTCCGGATCCGCCGCTTCGTCGGATGGCGCGGAGGCCATGGAAGCGGAGCGAAGCGACAGCCGAAAACGCGGACGCTCAGGGGACGTGGAAACCGATACGTCCGGCGAAATGATGCCACCAAAGGTGGCAAGCAGCCGCCGAGGGAGGGCGCGTAAACCGGCCTCGGTCTCGACCCCGTCAGGCTCCGCGTTCTCAAACGCGGAGTCCTACAGGAGCGTGCGAGTGGACGGCGAGGCCGTAGCGGAGGAGGAGATCGCGGATCTCCTGCTCAAGGTTCGGGAGCCGGTGGGGGGAAATGCCCCCCAGGCTCCCGTGTCCGTGCAGGAGAGGGCGAAAGCGGCGGTGGCCGTCATCGACAAGGTGGCCACCAAATCCGTGAACCTTAAGGGCTCGTTTGTGAGGGCCCTTAAGGACTCCTCCTCCGCTTTGTCGGAGGTCGTGGAGGGCCTAGCGGGCGACGTCTCTCGCCTGCAGGTGGCCAACGAGAAGCTGACAGAGCGGGTGAACGAGCTGAGCGCTCAGTTCGCCCGCTTCCAGGCGAACCTCCCCGAGCGGGAAGCCCCGTCCGCGTCCCAGCCTGCCCCTACCACCAACTCAGGGGCATTTGACTCCCAACTGCGAGAAATCCTCATCGCAGTTGGGAATATGCTGGACGGACGCCTGGCTGGCCTGGAGGCGAGATTGCCTCCTGCGCCGATTATGAGCCCCCCGCTCGCGTCGGCACAGCGGCCTAAGGCCGCCGCTCCGACCGCGCTCCCCGTTGTGGGAGGCCGCGTTTCTTACGCGGCGGCGGCGTCTGCCCCTACTCCATCGGCCCCACAAAAGCCGACGAGGAGGGGGGCCAAGGCACCGGCCCAGGCGCCGGCCAAGGCACCGG